CAACAATATAAAATGTCCGTAGTAATAAATAATACATTAAATAATCCCTAAATTGTATAAAATAGGTTAAGTAGGTTAATCAAATCGTCTTAAATGTTTTTCTATGAAAATCGTTTGTTTTTTTGTGAGTAGTGCAGTAATTTTTAAGAATTTTTCTTCTCGCACTAGGAAATAATAATAATTTATAAATATATAAAGCTTTTTAAGAACCCAACTTGTTCATGAAATTTAAACAAACCTTCGTATTAATACTCATACCAACTAGCCGAAGACCTTGATAACTATGCTTAGCCTTAACTAAAATTTAAGTAAATAATATAATAGATTTAATATATATAGTACTATACGTAATTTCGTTCATATGATTTGTCAGTTGATTTTTTAAATAATTTACGATTATAAACATTTCTAGAATGCTCATTAAAAATATTAATACCAGACGGGACTTGGCAGATGGCGGGAAGTAAATCCTGAGTCCTACATTTTTGAAAAGCCTTAAAAGCTGTGGAACCTGAACCTTTAGATTTTCAAAATCCCCATACAATTACTATATACAAGAATACGGCCGGAGGTCTTCTTACCATTATATTTTGATTTCACAAAAATGTCGACTCGCTATTAAAACTGTTTCTAAAGAAACCTTCTGCACTAAGTTTGAATTCGAATATAAGTCCAAACAGTTATTATGCTAATTCCCTTACTATTTCATGAGGCACTTGTTTTTTTCTCAGTGCACTTGCCTTGCCCAAGCCAAATTGGTAATGTGAGAAGCGCAATGTTAACTTGTGAATTATATTCGGCAAGTGGAGCCTCCGCTCGATGCGAAGTTTGTGTGGCGAATGGACACCCAAGACGCAAGAAATGAAATTGAATTAAAGATGCCGATGAAAATCTATAATTATAATGGTCCATGCTGACGCTGCCATGCCCAGACTCGTACATTGAATGGTCCCTGGAGCTGACCGGCTCACTTTCGCAGACAGAAATGGAGAGTTCATTGGAAGCTCAATAGATAGTGAGTATTATGTAATGACCAAATGCTTACTAATTTGTTGTCGGCATAAAGTAATAATAATTTATTGGAAGTCATGACAGTAATGTAGGTTCCATGATAACTGCACATTGTAAATTATCTATTTGCTTAAGCACTTTTTTTTTAATTCGACAATAACATAACGTATGATTACTTAAAGGAAATGAATCCTATTTATCGAACATATAGTGTATTCAATAAACTCGATGTACACATGCATCCAATGATTGCTCAGCAAAAATGTGAACTCTCTAGCTCTCATTGGCTCTGAGATGAAAGCGTTCAGACGTACAAACAACGAAAGTAATAAGCTATGTGCAACGCCACAGCTTGAGGGACACAAAACTCGAGATTATTGTCGTTAATAAACAAGGAGGGTAAAAATAGAATTTGCCATTTTACTTGTTCATACTTATCATATTTAAGATTATTGTTGTAATGTCAAAACGTGTCGGAAAGGGTGTGTAATTGTTGACATGCCGATGCAAGAAATCGGTCTTGTTTTGATACAAAACTTCATGGGGGATTTGTCATGCAACATGCAATCCTCGTGCACAGCCAACAAGCATTCTATGGGGCAACCTCAAAGTCAAGTTGGGTGTGGTGTTCCCCATGATAGAGGTGCCATTTTGTTCGTTGTCCATTGCCCGTGGCCAGTTTCCAGGGCCCCATGCTGTGCGAACGCCATGCCGTTATAAAATATTTACACGTCGCATATTTAGTTAGCATAATTTGCCAGGTAATTGTCACTGACGGCCCAAGAATGTGGCTATGTAGTTGCAGTCTACTAGTATCTATTTAAATGCTGCCGCTGTAGCAGTCCAGCCGTTAATGTTGGTGTTGTGGTCGTCATTGTCAACACTTTGCGCCTGCGGCGATTTGCATGCAATATTTATTGAGGCAAAGTCGTTGCAGATCCAATTACACCCACCGCTGGTCCAACTGCGAGATGCAGACGTTACCGCCCTCGCCGCCTCCATAGTTGTTAAACGCTGTTATGTAAATGGTGTGATGGAACCCCAGACATGATAAACTAATTAACGGCCAACGGCTGCTGCTTACTAAACGTTGTCATATGTTAATATTCCCATAAAATATTCCTAGTTGTGATTTGTTGCATTTAATAGGGCGTTTAATATGCACATGTATATGAAGTGTTGAGGTCAAGCTGTTCTCCCGCTAAACGACAATAAGTAAGTTATTAGAGCATTGTTAACTGCATAGGGTTCAATCAATATGCAAATATTTTGTCCGTTGTCTCAGACTGAAAGACTCAATTAATCTCTTCTTCCACTTCAGTGAATCTGCTCGATTGTGAAATAATTAATAATCAATAATAATAGCCACAAGTTCCATAATTAAACTTGATTTTCTTGGTTCCATCATGTCGACACTAAAGTTTTTTGAATTCAATCGTAGTCAATCTTCAATCTTGAGCAAAATGGGCATTTATGACTCATCATATTCTAGGCGGTATCAAAATATTTACCCAAAGGAAATTAATCCCATTATCGAACTTCCACATGGGACATATGGTATATTCAATAAACTTGATGTACACATGCATCCAATAATTGCTCAGCAAAAACGTAAACGCTCTAGCTTTCATTGCCTCTGAGATGAATGCGTTCAGACGTACAAACAACGAAGGTAATAAGCAACGCCACAGATCCATACAATATAGTATACAAGGAACGATGCGTGCAACAACAATTGCTTTGGAAATTTCATGAATACTCTGTATAAGATTGTTAACTCTTCTTATCCAAAATCTTCTTTGTACATAAATAAATGAAAGCAGTCAGAGCTTCCGCCAATTTAAAGTTAAAGCTCTTTTGAATTGATTTGCAGAACACATTCCGCGCACGACTTCTATAACAATTGCAAATGTAATTGACAACATTAATAAATTAGTTTTGACAAGCCAAATATTTTTCTGCAACATTGATCTTGAGCTATTTGCCTTTAATCTCCACAAATGGCAATGACAAGCCAATTCTCAATGCAAATCATTTCGTGCAGTTGGCAAAAACGAAAACCGAATTCGAGTGTGCAGAAAGAGATTTGCGGAATGTGAGTTGTGGCCGATCTTAGACCAAGCTATTAATCAAGCACTATCGATTCCGATTCGATTTGGGAACGACAAGAGCACAAATGCAAATGTGTAATTTATTGGGCTCGCTTCAGTAAATGGTTTCGCTTCAGTGAATGGGAACAGCAGCAGCGTTCTAGCTGCCATAACTTTCAGGCTTAAGCAGCCTCACATAACATAATTAGCATAAATTGAATGCGGTGTTTAGTTTTTCTTGGCGATTTATTTATTGTTTACGACTCCGATTCAAAGCGCATACCAGAGCCAACATTTTGTCGCTCTATTTCTGCCAACACACATCGCTTAATTATGCAGATCATTTGACACACATTTTTCGTGCTAAATTCTAGTAAAACAAATTATTTATTCCGAATTCGAAGAGCGATATTCCTGCTCCTTTTGATTTCATTTGGTGTTTTGTAAGTTCTCTAACTAAAATATTTTCACATACGAGAAAAGATGGAGTATCATTTAAGATATTTGCAAACGAAGGAAAGCATTTAGTTCCAGCTAAAGTTCATTATTATTTTCAAACACTGCTTGGAAAAAGAAAGTATAATATTATTTTTTTAAATAATGAGGCTATATATGAAGGGACGAACGTACGGACAGATATACGGACATGTTTATATCGATTCGTCTGATTATGTTGAAGACTTTAGATTTCACCTTTCAGGTACCGGATATAAAAACCGTTTATATCCCTATAAAAGCATAACAAAGCCGTGTTGCTTACTAAATATTTGAATAAACTATGTAGAGCCTTCTATTTCGTCTGCAAAAGCTTTTATTCTTAAAAGTTAATTGAAAACTTACTATAAGAAATAGTACGAACATCAGAAAGAATTCATAAACAATATTTTTTATTCATGAAATAAGTAAAAACACTTTGAGAACTTTACAACAAACTTACCAATTCATCAAAATTGCATATATGTATTTTTTTAGAAATAACAAAGGTAACTACTATACAATCGCCTGATTCGTACGAGTATACATAAATCAAGATATTTTACCCATTGAAATCAATCTCTATATACATAAAACAGTTTTTCCTGACTGACTGGTTGACTGACTGCCTGATTGGCAATCAACGCACAGTCCAAACGGTAAGTGCTAGGAACCTGAAATGTGGACTCAAGTATCCTTTCATAGCATCCATCACAGTGTAGATGCGCACTAAGAAAGGCTTTTGGAAAATTCGAGCTCCAAAGGGGGGAAACGAGCTTCAAAAAATATTAGTCAATGGCAAGAACAAAAATGTAACGGACTACAAATACTGAACAATTTTTGGTCAAGAACAGAAAATTATTAATAAGGTGAAAATATATGGGTAGGTCATGCACACACAAAATAAATACAATTCGAAACATTATATTGAGTCGGGTTATACCTGCTAGTATGTTATACAAATATGATGCAAATAAATAATAAATGTGCAATTTGTGCATTGTACAATAAAAATTTATTGTATTGTAACCAAGTCTTTGTCCATTCCGCGAAACTTTCAAATGTGTGTGATTTTGAAAGTGGTTTCAGATTCTTAATTGAGTCTAGGTTGAAACAGCTACATTAGTAATATCTAGCGAGTTATTAACGTTATACCCGCACTTATTCATATGACGCTTTATGTTTATGTCATAGCCGGCAAGCATTAGTGAGGTGATTAAAGTAACTTGATTAGAGTCGGCATTATAGTTATGGCAACTGTATATTTATGCATTTGCTCAGTCAGGCTGATCATTATGGCTTAATAGCCCACCTCACATACGACAATCCAGATGATTGTGGCAACAGAACTTCCGTCTTTCTTTGGGCCTTCGGGCTAGCAATCCATCCAGACCACTATTCTATTGTTTACATTGTTGCACTCACCTTTGGGTCTTAAGATATCACAGAATGGTTTCCCAATGAAAAAACGGCGACACTTGTATTTCTAGCTGTTGTTGTTAATGCTGATGTTGTTCTTGTTGTTGTTGTTGTTGTTGCTGTTCCTATTGTTGCAGTCCGGTCCGACACTTGAATGTGAAACACCTTTGCGTTATGCTATCACCTCTTTTTTTTTATTCAGATTTTGTTATTATATTTTGTTGTATGGTTTTATGTGCGATGTGTAAGTATGTTTGTATGTTTGTGTGTTTGTGTGTTTATCGTTTGTGCAGGTTACACACAGTTCTAGAATCGGACGTTCTAGTTTTAATTCCATGTAGTTAATGCCCGCCTGGAGTGTTGAAATGTTTTAAAATTAATTGTTAAGTCTGGCTTAATTGTTTTTCTTTTTGCTTTTTTTTTTTTTGCTTGCAAATTAATCGAGTTTTTAGTTGTTATAAGTTATAGTATGCGGGCTGTTGTGTTCTGTGCGATTCTATTCACAACTCACACAATGTTCAGGTGTCTATGTGTGACTGTTGTTGTTGGTGGTGGTGGTGGTGGTGCTGCTGCTGTGGCTGTTGTGGTGCATGTTGCCGCTGAGACAACAACATGACGGCACGCATGCGCGTTTCTTATGATCGATTGCCTGCAATAAACAAAAGACAAATCCATGTTAAACGTTTTGTATATAAAATATGTAGCTATATATTACACTAGTTGGCATCATATTCGAGTTCCGAATGGATAAATAAGCATTGATTGAGAATTTTCAACTGAATTCCTCTCCACAGAAGAAAATCTTAGCCTACTTCAATTTTGTGGTATCAAAACAATCATCACAAAATTTCATAAATTACTCACTTATTCACCTGTTAATTTTGTAAACACAAGTCTCAATTTTTATTAATTTCACAGGCAAGTATTTATAAAATATGACGTTACTAATTCAAAATTCTTACGTAAAAGTTTCAATTAGTAAGGTGATTTGAAAATAGTGTGATGATGATAATGTCGGGTGGCTCAAGACTAGATTTAAAAACAAAAGTAAATTTGTTTATACAATCCCAGATATCTCCCAAAAGAAGTCCCTCTTAAATGAACAAACAGACACTTTTTAAAAGAAATTCCAAGAGAAATTTAAAAATCAGCTTCTACACAAGTGCTGTGAAGCGTTTCGTCCGGTAGCTTTAAACAAATACTGTTCTCCCCGGGTTTTGATAGCAAAATTGTCTTAAATTTGTAAGCTAGTGTTGAGCGTTTATTTTTTTAAATTGATAGTTTTATTTGTATTTGTCATTGCATAAATTGTGCGCAATGCATAAATCAAAATCGTTCGCATGCACTTTGCGGAACCGTGGATTTTCATTTTCAATATTCTTTTTTATGGGCTCGCCGCTAGATGTTGACTGACGGTTTCTTTATTTTATGGCTAATTTATGCGGCGTAGTCGAACGTACAACACAGGGCTCATGCACAGGCCCATACAGGCTCGGGCATGGGCACGGTTATGTCATTGAAAGGCAGCAAGAATTACCCACATAGTTAAAAATTGAAATGAAATGGCATAAAATGCGTAATTAAAATTTTAATTAGCGCTTAATTAAGATATTTATAAACGGTAGCGAGCATTGAACGAACATTTAATGGACGACTATCAAGGCTCTTAATTTTGTTGCTGTGAAAAGTTTTTGAAAAGTTTTTTATTTTTAATTGCAATCAGTTCTGTCCGCGTACGAGTATTCCGGACTGCGAAAGTTGCAGCGAAATTTAAACAGTTTAGTTCGTGTGATGCGAAATGAAACGAAAGGCGGAAATCGTTTAGCGTTGTCAAACGTTTGAATTAACCAAACACCATCAACGCCATCATTTCCATTTTCATTTCCATCGCCATCGCCATCGTCATCGCCATCCTCCTTGGCGTTGTTCGCAAAATCTTTTTGGCAGCACATTGCGAGTGTGCGATGGAAAATATGCGCAAAACGGTAATGTGAAAAACTGCAACGAGGTAGCCAAACAGACACAGACAGACGGACGGACGGACAGACGGACGGACAGACGGTTGGACACTCGGCTGCTGCAAAATGTCACAATGCATTTGGCTAGCACCAACAATTGCCGCAGTGACAACAACAACAACAATAACAACGACACTGCGACTTCCCTGCCACACTGCGGCACCTATTTCCAGGCACACATACATACATACACACACATACTTACCTATGCACATGTACAGAGAGAGAAATAAATTTGCTCCAATTAAGTTTTGATCTTAACATTTCGATCTTAAATACCAACAAATAGCAACTTACGTTTACAAAGCCCCCAAAAGTGTAACATATGCTTCAATAAAACGTGGACGTGACTGTTGTAAGGCAAAAGTGTTTAGATCAAGTAAGAAAGGGTTTGATTAACCTCGTACTTGGTGCCAGCATAAATTTGAGCAATGATTAATGATTAAGTTCCACCCAGCCCCATTTGTTTGTCTCTAAGGCCACCTACTGATTCATTATTTTATTATGATTTTATGATGCTATTAACCAAAACATTTTCCACAAAGTACTACTTAAGCCATAATATTTAAGTAACTAGATGTAGGGATTAATGATGAGAGAGCTAATGACTAATAATATTCAAGTACAATAGTGAAACGTTTTATCTTTTTACAAACATTTTCTGATTAGGTTTTACAGACAGCATTAACAACAGTTCCACTTGCATGGCTTCTTAACCACACAATTTTAAAATTGCTCTCCAGCCCCAAAATATGCCATATACAGTGAAAACTCTCTTGGCCGGACACGCACGGTCTTGCAATTTTTGTCCGCCCAAGGGTAGGGGACATCCCCTTAAGGCGTACCTAAATACTTTATACACCGATCGAATGTTTTAGAAAAAGTGTGCGCTGCAGAGAGTGTCCATTAAGGGAGTTTTCAATCTTTATATAAGAAGTTGCAACATTAAGAAATGATAAATTTATAAACAAATCAAAACTGAAATCAATGAGTGAGTAACATTTCCAGGAAAGGGCCTGGCACTAAAAAAGAAAGCACCATAGCAAATGGCAAATTTCTTTCTGTTTGATGAACACTTAAAAGCTTTGTCGACTTATTTTATAACCGAAGCAATATTAATAAAATGACAATTGTTATTTCTTAAAGTGCACTCTCATAAATGCATTTTGTCACCTCGATTGCGGGCGAGTAATTTACGTTGGCGGCCAGCTTCAGCGCTTCAGCTGCAGCTCGACTTGGCTCGGCCCGGTTCAATTGGTCAACACTGGGTGCCCGACTAATTGCTTGCCACATTTTTCTAGCTCTATTTGTTCAACTGTTCAACTGCGTATGTCGCAGTCGCGTCACTTCGCGTTGTGGCCACGAGTACATCAAAATTACATTAGCTAAGCGTCTTGATGGGATTCGCGGTGAGGCGGAGCGGAGTCGACGAATGGGCGCTAAGTGAACTGTATATGCCGACAGACACACACACACACATGTATCGTACATGTGTGTGGGGCTGACCCATATTGTGCCCCATAGTTATAAACAAACACACGCACACACACACACACATACATACGCGTACTATGTAGGCATGTGTTAATTAGAGTGCACATACAAGTAGACAGGTAAGCAGTTCACTAACTATTGCGAAAGAACCGTGCCATGTTCGCTTCGATTTCGCTGCGGTGTTAAACAAAATTGATTGCACAAAATGAAATCAGAAAGAAAGATTAGCTAATAGGGCCAACAGACCTTTTTAACCGTTAGATGGCATATACTAAAGAGCGCTAACCGGAATAGCGCGCCAAATAGCTGCGTTTGGGAAGCACAGGAAAAAGAGCGCGAAACAAGCATTTCCTAAGCACTTGGTAAAAGATACATATATATATATATATATATATAAGTTATAGTGCCAGCTAACAATAGTACTTGCCCCATGAGCAAAATACAAGCTTTTTGATTTGAGAAAATTGTTTGCGCGCATATATTTAGTTTTACTTTAAAATCAATATTGAAAACTATTTCTAAAGTTATTACATTATTTATCTGATACCTTAACCTTAACGTAAAAATATCAGTAATGTAAAAAATATTTATTAAAGTAATTAACATTGTTAATTGATTGTATGGTTCTTAATAAATATTGATCAAGGCAAATAAAAAGTATACCGTGCCTTCAAATAGATTTATTGACAAATGGACAAGAAATATGCTTGCATTTTAATTTCATAACATTTGTGCAATGTATGCCTTTAAACAAATGTTGAATAATGTATGTTCTGCTTTTAAAAAAAGCTTTAAAGATTTTTGTTATTGATTTTTTAAAGAATTCAAATCTGAATTGCTGATTCATTGTCATCATTTCGCAAGCTAAATGGTCTTCTAAAAAAAGATCTTTCACTTCAACTATTTAATTTAGCATGTCGGTCAATTATTCTTCCATATTATAAAAAATCAAATAGCGTAAATGCTTCTTCTTCCCACAGCATACCAAATAGGATGGGGAATGAATGACAACCATGTCTAATATTATTATGTGATCATGAGGATGAATGCAGAAAACCAATAAAAATTGTAAATACGATTAGTTAGCTTGTCAAATCGCATAATGCAATTATGGAACTTAAACGTTATTGTGCTCGACTGGTTGTGGTGCATGCAATCAAAAGACTTAAAACACGAACTTCACGTGCTTTACTTTGTTTCGTTTTCGATTGATTTCAGCCAACAAGAAAAATAACATTAACATTGATTTTAATTGAGCTTTTCGTCTACTATATTTATTTATTTATTTAATTGTTGTCATTGCCTAGAACGCCATTGCCAGCCCATAGTGTGTTGTCCGATGTCGTGTGAAACACCCAAACATGTCTGTGGGCCTGCCTGCCAGCCTGCCCTTCAGCAAAAAATTTCAATGACGCAAATGCGAGTGCTAGTGCGAGTGCGAGGCTCAAAGCCTTGTAAGTGGCATTATAGCCGCATGCGGTATGAAAACGAGAGCAACTATAAATCACAAACTAAAGCGCACTAAAACGATGCAGAAACAAATTAGTTTGAATGCCTTCCGTTGCCCGTGGCCCGTGGCCATGCAAACAGATGGACAGACAGATGGACAGACGTGCAAACATTCAAAAGTAGCGCCTTGCTGCTCCAGTGCTACACACACACACTGGGCAACATGTGTAAGCAATCAATGAAACTGCCAGCCAACAGATGCTCAACAAGACGATGTACAACTCTATTATGCGCGGACGGGCACAGAAATCAAAGCGCCGCAAGACGTCAAAACGAATGCAAAGATTCGTCGCCTCAGCACCTCAACAAGCACCACCAGCCAGAGGCAAGAGGCAAGAAGCAAGAAGCAAGAGACCACAGACAAATGGCTCGCGACGGCTAGCGGCAGCGTCCAAAGCGACCACCGGTGATTAAACAATAAAATAACAATTATTGAGAGACACGCAGACGAGCAAATCCATAGACCGGGGCGGACGTGAGGCCGCCAAATGGCGATGCCAAACGATCGTTTGGCCCGGCGAGCGCCATCAAATGCTTTGATAGTTTGGCAGTTTGTTTAGCTCCTCAATGAGCGACGCGCGAAGATCGAACGAGTAGCTCGCATCGACAAGCGGACAATGGGACGGAC